GGGCTGAGGTGAGATATGCTACCATAAATTGCGTCTGACTCCATTACTTGACTCTATCCTTTAACTCTCATGCTCTCTATGACTTTACTATAATCTCTACTTATTATTGCTGTACAATTGCGCCTACCAAACCTGTGATGTTTTGTGGGGTTCCCTCTTACCCTTAACCCCACACCCCTGCAGGTTTAATTTAAGAACAATTACTTCGTATGACATGGCTCTACTAGATGCCCCACGTCATGAAGATACCATTGAAGATATGGGTACTACAGCAAAGTGTGGTAAATAAATCAGATATTGCTCGGCTATCTGAAAAATGGTGTCTAGAGTCTTAAAGGCTTTACTTCAAGCAAGCAGCCATCTAAGTGATGTGTCAGCTAAGTCCACACAGAGGAAGAATGCCAGCCTGTGTGATTCAAGGATCCAACAAAATCCAATTGTGGAGCAGGGATTAGAGTATTAGAGCTTAAATTCTGACAACCCAGTTTGCAGAAGGCTCTTAAGACAGTCGAAGTCCAAAATCAATGTGCAGAGTCCCCGTACAGGATAAGCCACTGGGGAAGCCCCTCTGATCATAGTCTATAGATGCCAATAGCCTTGATATCAGACAGTGCATTGTAAAGTGAATTCTTGCAGATGTAGTTAGGTTATAATGTTATAAGGTGTTAGGATATAACACCTTATCATTTGATCTCCCTTTCAACATTTTAAATTTGCTCCAGTTCTTAATATTTTCTACTTTCTTTTCTATTGAGTTTTTTCCTCTGTTTTATTTTGTCATTGTTGTTGTTTGTTTGGGGATCTGGGGGTGTATGTTTTTCAGTAAATGAACTCCAGAGTAGGGAAATATATTGGAGTAATAATTTCCTAGGGCCATGGAAGGAGAGGTTGGGAGAAATGAGGAGCTAATAACAATGGGTCCAAGACAGAATAAAATGTTCTAAAGTTGACTGTGGTGATACCTGCACAACTCTTCTTAATATGATTGAATTATTGAATTATGGGATATCACATGCAAGCAAAGTTTGCTGAAGATCATCCAACCACCCTTGCTGCAGCACATTGATAGGAAGCTGCCAGAGGTTCCAGGTGGATTCAGAAAAGGATGTGGAAGAAGGGATATCACTGCTGATGTCAGATGGATCTTGGCTGAAAACAGAATACCAGAAAGATATTTATTTGTGTTTTACTGACTATGCCAAGGAATTCAACCTTGTGGATCATAACAAACTATGGAGAACCTTAAAAAGAATGAGAATTCTAGAAACTTTCATTATCTTTCTGCACAACTTATACAGGGATCAAGAGGCAGTTGTAGGAACA